TGAAGTTTTAGCACTTTGAGACATGAGAAATCCCTTTATTCCGTGCAGAAAAGTTCCTAGTTGCCTAGAAAGTCACTTTGCAGCTTTGGCTTTTCAGCAGATCATTCACTCCATCTCTTGGCAGAAGAAAGGATTGCAATCCTGCTGGGTTACCTCTTCCTCCTCCACTCACTACCAACCTGTCAGAAATCCATTTGTGTGTGTGTGTATACATACACACACAATGCATCATGATACAGCCCATTCTTCTCACCCATTACTTCCATTATTTACTAACAACTCAAAAGCAATTCCCCAAACCTGGATTTTTACCTTTTGTTTCAAGATGTTCCTGGTTCTGGTTTCAAGATGGTCCTGGTTCATTTTTTGCAGCTTATCATCCCTCCTGTTTCTATTCTCATCAGGAGAGGGCAACGAAGCAGTTTCTGCAGTTCTGTATTTCAGAGAAAACAGAAAATGCAGCATCTATGTAGCAGCAGAAGCAGCCACTCACACCAGTCTAGTAGGTAGGAGGGAGACAAGCACTTTTCAGGTAGTTATAAACAGGTAGGAAAGCCTGAACATGTCCAAATTGATGCCACTTGGGGAAGACACCTGATAAACACAATGAAGGTAGCAGCAAGCAGCCATAACAAGCGCTAAAGACCTCAGCCTTTCTGAAGGATTAGGATGTGAGACTAAAACAGGGTGAGCTTCCACAGAAAAAGCAAAGAGCTTTAAAAAAATAAGGTATTAAATATGTAAACAGAAAAAAAGTAATTTTTCCTCCCAAGGATAAAATCCTTTATGTATATATTTAACTGTGTTCTACAGTTATTGATTTGGCTCTTCAAAAATAAACCAAGGAAAATGTGCACTTGTCATGTTCCTAAAGTCTATGAAAASGAACTCAAGCTTTGAGGTCAGATTTGAAGCCCAGTAATTGCTGTTTATTCACTAACACACAYACACAAAACAAGTTTTAAGTCAATTACTCTTCAGTAATTGTAATACTGAAGAAGTCCTGGTTTCTGGCAAAAAGAAGGTCAAGGAAGAGAGGAATCATTAAATATTTTGGTACCTGCACCCTAAGGTACRACATGAGTCATTCAACATTCATGCCTAGGGTGGGGGAACCCCGAGACTCCCCCAAACTCTTACCTGGAGACTTTCATACTGAACACCCAAGTCAAAACCAAAGGTCAACAGAAGCATTTTGGGCTGACGACTTGAGTTGAATGCTGAGCTACACATTCTTTCCTTCTCTACAGATATAAATGCAAAGTAGATTGAAAGTGCAATTGTGCAAAACAAGGACAGGCTATTCTAAGCATAAGGAAAGTGTCAGGATGATAAACCACAAAAGCACAAAATCAAATCAATGTTAATGGCCACGAGCTGGTATTTAGCTTGCTTTCATTTCTCTTTTCTTTCTATTTTTCCACCTAGCCTGCTTGGCTAATGAAATTCCCATTTTAAGTGAGAAGTCAAGGCATGATTTTATGCTACATCAATTATTATGACTTTATTGTGACATACTGGTATTCATCTGATCCCAGAAGGCTATACTGATGCTTTGGATGCAATTAATTTTTGATTGATCTAACTCACTCCAGTACTGGATGTAAAATGCTCATAGACGTTTGAATAATTCTATTACATGTAGGAGATTACTGCATACAGACCATTGGAAATTAATTGCTGAGTTATTTTAGTAAATGTAATACACCATTCCAGCCCAATTGTGGGAACAGTTACATAATTGCCTTACAGAGTAAACTAATGAAATAAATGAACTCTGACTAACATGGAACACAACAGGGCTGAAAAAAAGCAGAGATCACACTGCACATTTCTGCTCTGCCACTACAGGGACTGGCAGGTTAAGACCAGAGCTGCAAAAAAATATATTAACAACAGCCCTAGAGCAAGCAGGATAGACTCTAAATTCCAGTAGCAAGAGCCACTTGACCTGTTAATCCAAAGAATTGTGGCTCCAAAGAAGCCCAGAGTGAGTGAGAGATGCACAGAGAGTGTGGACTACCTGCAGATAACTCTGAAGAGCCCAGTACCTACCTAGGTGGGCAGATAAGTGTCTTGCTGTGGCCAGTATCTGTTCAGCTGTTCTGCTGTTATTGCAGTACTGATGTTTTCATGGGGAAAATGCAGCCAGTAGTAACGTCAGGAACAGCTCAAAGAAAAAAAAACACAGTAACTAATAGCCTAAAGACACAAGATCAGTCCAAAGYAGACAAGGGAGAAGTGGAATTAACCAGAGCTGAATAGATAGGGAGTGAGATCCCTGGTAYCTGATAGGAATTCTATCAGCTAACACAAACATGAGCAATATAAGAAAAAAATTTTAGGAAATCCTGTTTAGTTACAGGCCTCCAGAGCACTACCTGTAAAAACCCCTAGCAATGCTGAATATATGGTCAGAAAAAAAACACTGTGAAAATACTGAGGTAGAAAATTCTAATCACAAAGAAATATTCCACCTGCTGAGTACAATGAGTATTTTGTCCAAACATACCTTCCAAGCAAACGTTTTAGAGAAAACCTAACAATATAATTCTTAGAATTGTGGTCAAAAAGGCATCATTACAGCAATTTGCTTTTGCACTTGTTTTTTTCCACTCCCAGGTCTGCTCTATTACTTGCTGGTAGTAACTATACTCTCCACAAAGCAGATGTGCTGCCACAACCTCTTTACTTTTCCAGGCTGAATTCACTGCCAGCAGTGAATTTTCTAGTGGCAAAACAGCATTTTGTTCAGCTGAAGTATTTTTCTACCTCACTACAGCCACAGGAAGACAAAAAAGCAATAAACAGATCAGAATCTTCCATAAATGGCTCAAAAATACAGGGGAACTAGTTTTAGACAGACTGCTCCATGTGATCTGACAGAGTCCATTCACTATTTGGAAAAGGGTATTTGCACAGCACCTACTGGCTTTGATTCAGGCTCTTTCAGATGCTGCTTCAGCATCAGAAGATTCTTAAACCTCACAAACTGAAATTTGTGTCTCTAATAGGGAAATATTCCTAGGATTAAGTCTTTGCTTGGTTTTCTTCCCTTGCTGTGACCAGATGAACACAGTATGGATTTACAAAGATACTTTCTTGCTAGATTTTCTCAAGAATGAAATTCCTAAATTACTTTGATTAAACCTAAGCTCCCTCCCTCAACTCAGAGGATGCAGCCTCCCAAACATCAGCTCTTCTCCACCTTTTACCTCCAGCAGCAGAACAGAGGTCCAGAGAGCAGTTTTCAGGTCTGCAATCAGTTGCCCTAGAACAGAGGATAAATCTTGTATTGTACAGACAAAACTATCTAGGAACACAATTTATTGGACAGTTTCCACTACACTCAATTTTCTGCACAGCTTTATTGCTGTTTTCAATTTCCCTGGCACCATCCCCCAGTATAACAGTGAGGCAGAAACAGCCACTTACACCCAAGTTCATTAATGACTTGCTATTTAAATACCTCATTCAATCTTGCTCTTACCATTGGTGCATTATTTCTATTTATACTTTGGAGACAATAATCAAGAGTTTGGCATTTATAGGAAATAAATACCAGGAAGTCTTCATAAAGAACAGCCTTACACAATGCTTTGCAATAAAAGTAACTGAGACGAGCAAGACAAGTACAACATTGATGACAGAAGGAAAAAACAATCAGAACAGTTTAATATTTGATTAGTACCTAAGAGTCCATCCATATTGTCAACTGCAGGATAATTAAGCCGACAAGCTTCATTAAGCATCAAGATTACTCTTGGCCATTTAAACATTATCTACCAAAATAACACTATTTTAAAAACAAACAAAAAACCTCAGTCATTCCAACGCATATAAGCACTCATTTTAACAGAAGGAAAGAGGAAAACAAGTGACTATAAAGATGCATCTTCTTATAAATTACTGCAATAAATTTTCTCTTCATGTTTGTTAAGGACGAGTATGTAATTTTCTAGGCTAGTCAATTAATTTATCTGTAGAAAAGTGAGACAAAACTTCATTTAACACTATCTTATTACACCATTGTATGTTGTAACTACTTAAATATCATTGCTCAAGTTGAATTCAACTTAACATATGATGTATGAAACTAACTCTTTGCTCCAAAGAGAAGAACTTTCCCTTTCCTTTTTGGTTTGAAACTATTTTGGTTTGAAATAAAGGATTTCAGAGAAGAACTACAGAACAGATTCAGAATATTTACAAATAAGCATTCCCTTCTTGCCTTTGACACAGAACCATAAACACAAAGGAAATTCGGTCAAGTTTAACTCCAACTTCATCCCCAAATTCAACAGCATTTGTAGCATTTGTTTGCTACAAATAATGCAATTAATAGCTTTCACATTAAGGATGACACAGATAGAACAAGAGGGACACGTCCCATAGGCCTACATTTCTGTCCCTCTTACAGTTCCCTGTTACACACACAAACACCAAAGTTTTTACAGAACCCATTCCAAAGAAAAATGTATGCCCCATTTGCAAATAATCAATAATTAAGCCACTTTAAATGTCTTCCTGAATAGTAAGAAAACATAAAATTCCATTTCTATTGTTAAGCAAGAGAAGTCTATAAAGCCTTTCCATTAGGAAAGTGAACCACAGCATTTATTCTGAACATTTCTCAGGCTAGACAGGCTCATTTGAACAAGGATATCCCACCCTTGCCTTCATTATTGCAGTATTTGCAGCAAAAGTAGCATCACTACAAGCCAGCATGAATTCCAAGATCATTTTGTGTGAAAACTTCAGAGCACAGTGGCTAGATACAAGTCTCCCATCCCAGCAAACAGCTATAATTCACCAAACAAACTGAGTGCTTTGCACAATACGCTCCTCAAGGCCAACAGGAAAAGAAAAAACAGCCTGAAAATAATGTTTAGTCTTAACACAACCATTTTGTGCTTTTAAACCATGACTTAAGAGGTAAAGCAACTCTATGAAGTGATAGTTTATTATAAAAAGTTCTAAGACTTCAGGAGAAAGGAAAAACAAAGAAAAAATATCACACAACAGTACAGAAAACTGTCCTATTTATTTAGACAGATTTCATAATCATTTCAGAAGAACAAACGAAAAGTCTCCACGTTCCAGCAAGGCAAGAACAGCACCATAAAATGCAGAGGGGCACCTTCTTTTTCCTCCCATCTTTGTTTTTCCTGTTCTACGACATTCTCTGAGTRACCAAGTTGTCATATATAAAATGTCTCTAGCATGGTCCTAATGGCACCAAATCCAACACAACGATTCCAGAAAACATTTCTCTGRGAGCAACGGTCCATAATGCCATTACAGTGAGTATCCTTAAGCAACTCCAGCTCTTGTTATGTAATTAAGCTAGAATCTTGGACTGCACAAGTTCAAGTAGGCATTTTTCATCATGTGACATTTTTATCCCAAATAAATGCTGCAAAGGGGAACCAATTACAAACACTTGCTATTTGAACAGTCCAAACTTTCCAGATTTGTATGACAGATAAGCACTATTAAACATCTTAGCAAAACATAGAAGACCAGTATCTCATTTTATAGTCTTTGTACATTCAAATTTTTCAACAATGAAAAAAATACAAAGATTAAGACTGAACAAGGCACAACAGAAAAATCTAGTTCAAACAAAAAGAAGCGTTTTCTGCCTAGTAACTTGAGTCTCAGTATGCATATGCTCAAAAGCCATCTTATTAAAACATATTAAGTATCTGATGCAGTAGAGAAGCACAAGTCCCTTTGAGACAAGAATTTGCTCRTGCCGGCAATTAAAATCTCAGGCAAAAAAATAAAAACAGGGCAGTAAATTATTACCTAGCTCTAGAACTTTGCCTTCAGTTTGACAGTGCACAAAAATATGTGGAATGAAATAAATATTCTTGCATAGTTAGCATGGAGACACAGTGTGTTCTATTAACTTACTTGAAGAGGTCAGAAGCTCTCTGCTCCCTGCTCTGTACCTCAAGTCACTCATAATTCACTTCCCTGCATCAATTCTATGCTCAGCAGCAGTTACAGTGTTACTAGTCCTTACTCTAGTGCTAAGTTCTTCAACTTTTTTTTGGTCAGACAATTTCTTCTCCAGTTAGACCACCTTTGAGAGCGCTTCCTTAATTACATCTTAATTAACACATAAGGCACGCTGTCCTTTCATCCACATACACCAGACTGGAAAGAACAGGAGCTCTCCACGTGAAGCCTGTCAACTAGGTTACATCAGGAAGATGCATCCTGGCTGTTCAACCACCACAGAGGACACTGAGGCTGCTTGAAGAAAAGCTGAGAAAAGAATGATGCACAAGGAAATCATTCACCTCTTTCAGTATAGTGATACTGATTGACTTAGCAAATGGCATTCAGTTAGCAACCACTTGTGGTTTAGTTCCAACACTGGTGGTTTTAAGAAATTAACATGGAAATATTTCTGTGCACTTAAAATATGGGCAAAAATAGAGCCCTTTACTCAAGTGTGTACAAGAACTGTTCTTCATACRTGCGCTCTAGGTTCCTTTCTTCATGTACTGTGAGAAGAACTGGCCTCTGACAAAGTGGACAAGCTTGGTCTCTCTGTAGAACATGGTAATGATGGTTGCTGCGAAGCACAGAGCTCCCACGCTGACGTGCACCAGCCTTGCCACCCAACCCTTGTCACAGCAGAAAAACGCCTGCAAAGGAACAAGCAAAGGTAAGGAAACAGTGAGCAGAGGGGGACATGCTCCTGACCGTGGTACCAACATTTACAAGGCAAACATTATAAACAGGTGCTAGAAAGATTTGCTACACACATTGATCCTACAGAAAAATAGTGTTTGGGAGTCGCAATGTTTCTTTGTCTAGAGAAAATTTCTGTCCAGCAGTAAATAAGCACTCAGTATATATCTAATAAAGAAGTCAATTTGCCATGTAGAAATGTTGACACATTAAGGGGAAATTTTGTTCTGTTTTGGTCACCCCTCCTTCCTCACTGTCCCTCATATGAATAGCAGCTTCTCTGCTCTACTGCAAAGCAATGCAATTTCAAACAGTACTTAAAAAAGTGAGCTTACTTCACCTACCAGCAATAGAAATACCCTGAACTACTTGCCAGCTATACCTCCTCAAGGTAGCAGAGGTCTGTAGATGTACTYTCCTGCATGTTCTATATGTATCACACAGAAATATACCTGTGACGAAGTTTAAATTAATACATATGGTAAACTGATCTTAKAATAGACAAAAGCAGCTTTGCAAGCTTGTAATGAAAGGCTTCCAGCCTATGATCAGGAGCTTTTTTGATAACTTCACTGCTGGGGGAAACACAAATCATTGACATTAATTTTATAGCGAAAGCCAACCTGACCAAGAGACATACCTCAGAGAAAACAGTAATTGCTCCACTTAGGATATACACAAGTAGCAGAAGTGGAGAGGGCAGCAAGCCTGCCAGAGGCCTGTAACTGCTTTCTTTGAAGAAATGATGGATATAGTGGATGCTGTGGGCTATTCGGATACCCATATTGAAGCAGTTGGCAAGGATAAAGCCRACGCTGCCGTGCCAATAGGTCAAGAAATAAGAGATGCACAGAAATGTGAAGGACAAGGCCAGCATGACAAAATTGTACCTAGGGAGGAGAAAAAAATAAATAATGTTACATTATTATACTTATTTACTAAGTATATATTTAAAAATAAATACCACAACTTATTTTCTAAAAAGAAGAATGAGCAAATCTCCTTTTTTAAAGGAAAGACAAATCTGAGAACAGAGATGTTAATAAAACATCTCATGGCAAAAGTAGAAAACAAGACAAATAAAAACCAAGCACTACCATTACATGAAGGAAATTCTATTTCATTACTTAACTCCGTATTCACATCTGGAAGTCAAATTTAGTAATAACAGGTTTTATTTCTCCCTCCAATTGCTATGCTATATTAGGTAGCTATTAAAGAAAAACAATACTCAAAAAGGTGAAACCTTCAGAGCAGTTTCTGCTGAGCTAGGGCTTTGAAGACAAGTTCACACTAAAATAATAATGAAAGTACACCCTGTCAAGGAATAAAAGTACTGGTTTGCCTACAGAAAATAACTCATTATTTTTGAAGTGGTCTTGCAACAGACATATATTACAGAATTGAAAAGCATCTGATAGTAGCATTGGAGGGTGTAGTGGGAAACCAACTTCTTTGGGGAACTAGAGAAATTAAACCTTTCTCATATCCTATTAATCGTACACATGCACCCAGAGCATCCATGCTAGGAAATTAAAGGAAGCTTTGTTACCTTTCTACTGCAAATTAAGCTTTTTTCATATAGAAATAGTCATGTGATTGAAACCTTGTACTACTTCATACTTATTGTGCTCATCTCACAGAGGAATTGGTTTAAAATATGACATCTCCAAAAGATGTTTGGCATTCCAAAAAGGGTAGAGAAATACTCTAATATACTTCAACCTTTTGCCTCAGTACCATCTTTCATTTGAAAAACCTATTCCTAGTTTCAAAATAATTTGGTGAGAGTTCAATTACCAATTTAACATTGACCCAAGGCTCAATAAAACTCAATTCTACAATTTGATGTAGTATCATCAAACACAATGAATGCTTTGCAGAAGAGAGATGTTTTAAAGTGCTGCTTCCACAAATTCTGGTAAGCTCAAGTTAGGTTAGGCTTCAAGTTAGTTTCCAAACGCATGTTCATGCAGTACAGTAGTCCCTCTGTTTAGGCACTGAACTTGACATAGATCATAAAGAGATGGTACAGGAATAGTCTACCTGTCTACCTCTTCTTTGCACATCAAMGCAAACGTAAAACATTCTGTTACTCCATTGACAGCAAGAAATAGGACATACAAAGAGTAACATYGAAGGAGACTCGGACCTGAAACAACAAAACCATGAAAACGATTAATGAATCATTCTATCAAAAGCGAACAGTTTTTACATTTACTGGCACTAATGAAAGTCCACTTGTGATAGGTAAATGTTGCAGAAAACTTGCCTAAACAAGCCTGTTCTCTGCATAATTCAACTTTATCCTGTACAATCCACAAATTACAGTTTTGAGAAAGRTGCTCCATTATTTTATTAGAGTAGCACAGCAACGATCAGCTTCAATTGCATCTAGCAACAAATTCACAATTAAGAGCCAGATACAGAGGGATTACAGAGGTAGAACAGAGGGCACTGCAGTATCCYAAGACACAATTTCTTCATTCTTCACTGCAAGCAAACCTACAGATACCTCTAATGCTGCTGCCAAACAACACTRCAATCAGAACAGCTGATTTAACCCAAGAATTCCTGTTACAGCTTCCCTTCGGAGAAAATTCCTACTTTGGCAGCTCTCTGCTTCCTTACCTGTTCCAGAACTGAGCATTGAGCCTCCATAAATATCCAGAGCCAGCTGAGAATAGGCATAGCCAAAAACTGTGATGGTAAGGCCAATCAGAAGGACCAGTTTCAACAGTAATTCTAACACACCTGCGGCCATAGCAACATCATCCTGAAAAATGCTGTAGTCAATTACATGAATCACATACAATATGTATTTTCACATAGAACAGCTGCATTACACAATAAGTCAGTTTGTATGCTGCAGAAAAGCATCAAAATTATCTTCTGTATCATTAACAATGGTCTGAACTTCTGAATAAGTACCAGGATTACAAAAAAAACACAGAAAAAAAGAAGGACAGGAAAAAGCCCAGGCTGAACTTCATGCTGGATCATATCATACTATGATATCATACTATATCATATTTAGCTATTAATATAATGTTTAGACATGTTAATGTCAGCTAAAATATAATAAAACATAGTGTTATACCACTGCACATCCTCATTCTCATTTCATTAGAATTTTACCTACTCTCATTTTGTTCAAGTCCACTCCCTTCATTTTTGTTGCTCATCGCTGTCAGTTTGTTTTCAACTTTAACAGGCTTTATCCTCAAAAATTTCAAACACAATTCTGTCACCCTCCTGTGAAACAAAAAGCAAGTTGCATCTGACATGTAATTCATCTTAATGAAGCATACCTGCTTTTGGAGCTTGACATTCTTCCCTCTTTCCAATACTTTAGCAAAAAAGACATAAAAGCTCTCTTCAATAGGCAAAAATATAAACCTGGCCACCAGTGAGCCAAGATTGTTTATGATATCATATACACCTTTAAAAAAAGATACAACATTTTAAGAACCAATTTAATTCTAAGTCTTCAATGACATGTATCCTAATTTAACATTTCTGCCCTCCTCAGTCTCAGTTCCCGAGARGAAGCATTTACATTGTCAGTATTTACAGGGGAATATACTGCAGTAAGAGTAATTTCAACTAGCTACAAAAGCGGGCCTGCAATTATGGCCTTTCATTCCCCAAGTGGAAAGAGCTGAGATGCCACCCACTCAGTCATCTGAATTGCTTCTGTTGCACRTACTACATTAACTACCCAGTTGGAAAGTTTGGATCCAGAGAAARATTTAATTCAAACTGCATACATTAAATTCTCTTCTGTATCCACTAAGTCATTCTGACATGTTCCTCAGTCACAAAGGCTTTGAAGGCCTCACAGATTTTAAAGTTTTTAAATTCTGTAAGTTTTCCAAGTTAACTCAAACACAATGACTTCCCAACTGTACCACCATTGCACAGCATCATGGCACTTACCCTGATCTCCAAAATTCAGTACATTCAAAAAAGTCATCACATATCGTTCACCTGGAAGTGCAAGATACAGACATCAACAGCAGCCCAAACAGTCTAATATCCTCCAAATGTTTATTCACGTATTTTAAACACCAAGGATTCAAGAGATAAGATTAAATGAGACAGCAGTCAGTTCTAAAGACCCTTAAAAGCATCATCCAGGTGGCTGAATCTGCTGGTGACAACTTCTCTGAACATCAGCTCTCTCARTCTCCAAGTCAACAGTATGACTACCACATTATTCATTAGCATTAGCATATTTTCCACTCATCTATTCATCRTTACTTTGTCTTTTCAGTGAAGAAAAATTTTACTCCCACACACAGCGGAAGACAGGCTAGCTCAGCTAACCCCAGTGGTGCCCCATCGTGGCAGGCTTTAATTCCAATCTCAGCATCCTCCTCTATGCTCCAGCCCTTCTCCATGACACCTATAGATTAAGCCTTACCTTCTGTTAAAATCTGTTTCAAGAAAGACTGTTTGAAAAAACTCCAAGTCAGTCGTGCCTCCTTCCAGTTAACAAAAGTCTGGGGAAAGAAAGAAAATATTATAATGTAATAAAATAATTTCAGTTGCTCAACTGAATCACAAAACAAAGACAGTATATGACTCTGGATCAGCTCYGACCACTCGGCATAAATTAGCAGCAACAACATTGCCAATTTTCCTCACAACAAATCCAAATTCAACCACACTTTGCTCTGATGTGGCCAGGTAACTTCTTCCATTGGTGAAAATTACTATTGCTCCAGAGAGCTAAAGGATCTGGAACTTTTTTTTCCTGGAAAAGAATGCTCAGTACCACAACACAAAGAGATGAGAAACAATTTTAATCGGTCAGTATAACTCTGACCTCACTGTAGGCATCTTACCACTCTTTAAACCATCCCATCAAACTTAACCACCTACAAGGATCTCAATTTCTAAGTTTTTCTAAATATCTTCCCCATTATGGCTTTTCATTTCTTCCCTGCCCAACTTCCTCATGAGAGGACACAGTAAACAGCTCTTCACAATTCAGAGATATCCACCAGAATCTCACCTGTCAGCTCCAGTGCCTCAGACTAATTTCCAAATCTTTCCTCAAGGAAGACTGCAAAACTAAGAATTAAACTGTGTGACCTACCTCATCTTCTACCAAGTTTGGTAGAAGCGCTTTCATTCTAGCAACTGGAAATGACTTCTTTGTTGCTTCAGGAGATCCCAGAAATGTCGTAAAATAAATTACATAGCACATTACCAGAACACTGGTATATAAAAGCTGGAAGGAGAAAAAAGAATAGAAATCCAAGGATACAAAATTAACTTATTCAGAAAATAAGTTAAAAAATAAAAAAAAGTGCCAAATTCGGAAAAGGAACGAGAATGTGTTAAATAGTTCTTACTGCTGTCAAACATAAGGCTAAAGATATTMTTTAACAAGAAAGAATTATAAGCTGCAAATTTTGATATGCTAGTGAATAGCTGAGCATCCTGAGTGATCCTTCAACTTTTTTTAATGTATGTATACTCTCTCCAGTATTTTATTATATGCTCAGCCCAATTTTAGGGCACTTATTCATTTTAAGGGAGAGTATAGGTAGCGTGATAAGACGCAAGCCACATCTAATTTTAAACAAGCAACTTATTTGTTCTTTATTGCAGTAAAGTCTTAACCTAAATCAACCAAGTTATGACCGATTATCACCTTGTATACAGCAGAACACAAAGCCAAGCATTAAATTACACTGAAGCCAGCTGATGAGCTAGCTCTTCAAGCTTAAGCATGTGCAAGTTATTTAGAAAATAAGTTAAAATATAGTTTACAAAGAATAACAACGTTATCTGCACAATGTGCCATCATACATGGAACACTTTCTAATACCTCTCAAGCTAATCTAGGTAAAGTGCAAGTCAACAACAATATCAGAATAATACTGCATCTTACACCTCACAGGAGCATTTGCTCTCACCTCTACACTATTTAGCTAATAATTATTAGTTACTTGGCTAAACACCAACAGGAAAAAAAGCCTCATCAGTGCAGAGGAATCAAGAATTTATAGAAAAAATAACCCAGGAAACTCACCTGTGCCAGGCAAAAGATGTAAAGGCCCCACTGAGGATAAAGTATTACTAAAATAACCGTTAAAACACATTTTGACAATACAGAAAAGCTTTCAGCAATTACCTTTAAGAAAAAAAAGAGACATTTATTTATTTCTTTTTTTTTTTACCAGTTTAACCACAGACAGGTACTTATCACATTTCACACACAAATTAGGTAGAATGAATTTAAAAAGCCAGGGAGACTTTGCAATAAAGTTTCTCTCCTACTGAACTGATCATCTTGAAGTGCAATTACTCCATAAACCCTCTATTCTTGTTTTGCAATTCTCTTTATTGTAGTTTCCCAGGCCCTTGCATAAGGGAGCAAGTTTTGCTCAATCACATTCTCAAACACTGCCTTTCACAAATGAATATCCACAATCAACTAAAATGCAAAAAAAGTTAAACGCCTCTCTCTCCAATTAAAACTCCTGATTACATATTGAGTGATCAGGATGGTGATAGCTTCTAGATAAACTAACTTTGTTGCTTTAATAGTAGGCACTCATGTTACAAGTAACACGGTATTAAAATCAACATGTTTTAATGTGCTTGAACATAACAGACATCTAGTCTGGTAATTTGTTCTTTGTGTTACCTTTTTGTTCACTTTTCAGTGAGTTTTTTTCCCCCCCTGCACCCCATATTCTTAGCTTGCTTTACTAACCTTAAGTCGTACAAATAAATGAGCTTGTGCTAAAACCCAAAAAGGTTCTCCCAGAAGCTCAATAACAGCAGAAAGACCAAAGGCCACCACACCAGCCCGATAATGAGGAACCACAGTAGGATCGGGTACTTCAAGCAACTGGAGCCATACTATGCCCAAGAAAACGGACCAAAAAATGCCGAGAGGAACCCTAAAAAATACACAAGCAGTCAGTAAAAGTACTACTAAAGAAAATTGGATTAAAATTTCACATATTGACATATTAAAAAATAGTCCTCTACAGAATTCACTTTATAACTTCAACAATTATGTCGTCATTCAAATGTACTGGGGCTCAAACCAAAGAGCTTTGAAAAAATAAGTCTAGCTCAAATTGGGCCTCCAACTCAGCTTAAATACACCTTCACAAATGCCTAGTCTTTTTCCTTTATTACTCTGTATGCAAGTCGAGAAAAAAGATTGCGTATTTGGGCAACACGTTCACCTACTCAAAAAATGAAGTTAACAGAGTTAAACACAGAGCTGACTACTTCCATTGTATCAGCCCTGAAAATAAAGCTGAGTAACGAGCTACTCAGCTGTAAAATAATTGTGTCTCAATATTTGTTTTTCACTTCTTGGATAAAAACTGGAATAAATACCAGTTTGTAAAGGTTACCCACGTTAGCCAGAGGAGGTTGATGGTTTTTGTCCAGTTGCGCTTCGTGCCTCCGCTCAGACAAGCTCTGCGAAASGCCTCCCTGGCCAGGAAGAGAACTGTTGAGTAGAGCAGCGTCAGCCTAAAGRAAGAGGGTAAAAAAAGGGAAATTAGTCCTTTATACCGGAATGGACCTTCAGTCCTTATCAATATGTACAAATACCTCAGGGGAGAACGTAAAGAGGATGGGGCCAAACTCTTCTTGGTGGTGGCCAGTGACAGGACAAGGGGGAATGGGTACAAATTAAAACACAGGAASTTCCACCTCCATGTGAGGAAGAACAACTTTCCTGGGAGGGTGACAGAGCCCTGGCACAGGCTCCTAAGGAGGCTGTGGAGTCTCCTTCTCTGGAGGTCTCCCAAACCCACCTGGATGCCACCCTGTGCCCTGTCCTCTGGGGTCCCTGCTGAGCAGGGGGCTGGACTCGGTGATGTCCAGAGCTCCCTTCCAACCTCAACCCTTCTGGGATTGTGTCCCCTAGGGCCAAAACTGCTCCTGTGGGAYGATTATGGGCAAAATTCTCAGACAGGACTCCGGGACACAAACCCATTCCAACAGGTACAAGAACTAAACATTCTTGTGCCAGAGGTAGATGWGGTAAATTACTGCCTTCTAAGAAAGCAGGAAAGCAATTTTATGTTAAAATAGATAGCAAAAGAACTTGAAGAACACGTCAGAGCAATAACACTGCAATCAGATTTGCAGCAGTTGCACGCAATGATGCTGCCTCCGCTTTCCTTCACCACAAGCGGAGGGGTTTGCATTGAAACAGGCTAAACAGGATCTCTGTGAGGTTTCAAGGCAGAAAAGAAACACAGCAGCACAAAMGGGGGAAAAAAAAAGAAAATCAAGGAAAAAAGGTGCAAAACGCACCGCAGCACGGGCAGGTTTGGAGCTCCCGCGCCCTGCGCCCAGAGAGCCCTGGTCCGCCGCTCACCTCACGCCGACRACGCCGAGCAGCTCCGGGGAGAGGTGGCGGAGGGTGAAGGCGTTGAGCGCGAACGTGACGCCCCGCGACAGCACCTGCGGACACAGCGAGCCCCGTCAGCGCCGCGCGCCCCCCGCGGCCGCTCCGCGCCGGCGCCCCGCGCACCTGCAGCAGGGCGCTGGAGGAGGCCAGCCGCGTGGTCTGGCCCAGCACGTCCTGCGAGGCCATGAGGCACCGCCGTGGCCGCCGCCTCGTCCCCTCCCTGGCCCGGCGCGGCCGCGGCGGGAGGCGGCGCTGCCGCCGTCGCCTCGCGATCYCGTCAGGCGGGCGGCGCCGCGGCGGCTCCGCCCGCGCTGCCTTCCCGCCGTGCTCTAAATAAGGGCTTTATGAGGAGGAGAAAACGTTTTATGAGGGGGAAAACCGTTTTAAACGGCGTTTTCTGACAGGGGAACTGCTCTGGGAAACATTTCCGCAAGAAATGTACCTAAACTGAGCAAATCCCCACCCGGCCTCCCCCAATTTAAGGGCTGTCTTCCAGCCCTCCTCCAGAGCTGAGGTAAAAGCTGCCTGTACCGGAGCAAGGACTTCTCCCATGGAATAGTCCTGCAAATACAAGGAAAAAATAAATACAGACAGACATCTTCAAATAACATATAACAATATAGACCCAATTTAACTGTACTCTACTCAACAGGACTCATGTCCAAGGTCTACTTGATTTCAGCTCTTTAATGACAGGATATGAACAGCCAGAGTTTTAACATATTAACTTAAAAGAAGCTGGATGACCAACTAATCTTGGAGTTCATGAAAAAAATTAAGGCAATTCTGTCTCCTGCCACCATCAAAYTCCCCTCTTTGAAGTGTTATGCACACTACACTACTACGTGGTAAAAATTCATACGGTATTTAAGTTTCCACACCTGAATCCACATACATGTTGTTCATGATAAAAACAGATGTCTTCAAGCAAATAAATGGGAGAAACAGCAGCTAAGTAGAGGCCTCCTATTCAGGCATYGACCACAGGTACCAGCAAGTGCCACCTCATGATAGCTTGTTTTCCAGCATGRTTTGTCACCTCAAAGCAGGAGCAGAGGTGAAACATGGGGAGGTGGAAGAGAAAAAATTGTTAACTTCAACTGTTTTAATAAAAAACAGCTTTGCCATTCRCATCCTTTCGGCGTTTGTGCATCTCGGCCGCTAGATGGCAAACAGCCTCTGAGGGAGACAGTGCCSTTCAGTCCCCAAAGTACGTGGTTGGGCTGAAAATGAGTATTTTTATTCTTTTAGAACATTTCTGAGTCTGTTGTGTCTGAACAACAGGCCAGACGGGCTAAGCTGCAACAACGGGGTGACATATATAGGTCAAAAAGAGAGAAAGAGCTGTATTTCAGGCTTGCAAATAGGCCTATCAGTTCACCCAATCTTATTCACAAAATTTGAGAGAGGAGGCTTTTYACTGAGCTACTGAGTTGACCAAAAAGCTTATTTTTAGCAACATAGCCTGAAAGCAGGTACGATTTAAGAGAACTAAGGTCCTGATCCAGCATACAAACCCAATAAGAATGTCCTGTTCAGGGAAAATTGATTGCTCTAATTCCCACAGTGGGTAACAACCACTTAAAGATCTCCTGCATCTTCTTATTGCAATGAATTACCCTGCTGTGTTAWCTTAAAACAACTATTGGTGGTAGAACATCCTGTAGTTCAGTAACATTAACACCAAAGAGGGTAAAAAAAAAAACAACCACTATGAAGGTCCTTATTTCCAGAGCTGTATGGCAACTGGTACTAAACTAGGGGGGGAAAAAAAGGCACCTTGAGCTAAAATACATAGCTCATTTCTCTGGGGACAAAAATTCACAAATTAATGACCAACTCACATCTGAGAGACCAATTAAATCAGCTGTGAGAGACTGAAACAAGCCTAAACAATTGCCATTTTTCCATCTGAAACAGATAGCTTCTTGAAGAACTAAAGTCAAGACCACCATAATGAATCAATACCCATTTTAGATGTTATTAACCCAAATAAATATATCACTAAGTTCAAAGTCCACTAATTTCATATCTTCATTTACTTGTGAGCTTCCTTTCCCACAAAGGCTCCTCAACAAATTTTCCCCATAGTGCTCAGGAGCAAGTACACAAATTATATGAAACTGGGGTTTATTTTGCTGTTCATCTTTAATAATGCTTTAAAAAGGCTGTCTCTGCTCATGTCCATATAAAGCTTGTTCCTGTACAGAAATATTTGTGGCTTTTTATTCAAGGCAAGGAGTCACATGCAGACTCACCAGCCTGGGTGTTAACTTCTCCTTAAGCTTTCTCCCCTCCAGTGAGCATCCTTCTTTCAAACCAAAGGTGAATCTGTGCCAGAGGATGGAAAATTTCCATTCCAGGGCAGAGTTGCAGGAAGCAAGAGATTCACAGCCCATTCCAGCAAAAGGCACATGAGGAATCACTGCAGTGCCAATTTGTCTCTTTTCCCTCTAACCAATGGGTCCCAGAAGGACTTTATAGATTAATTTCACCAGGCCCTGTGGACCAAGTTAATCTTAGTGCATACTAAATAAAAAAATGCATCTCTTTTCTGGCGGCATCACTAGTTCCTCTATGTCTTTTCTTTGGGATGGATAAAGGGGCTTTTTGAAGAATGCAGAAGTGCTTTTTCTGATGTGCTCTATTTCAAAAATACACTTTCCAGAGAAGTCTGGGACTGTCTGGTGTTAGAAGTGCTTGGTGTATTCAGACTGAGGTCACTCCATGAGCTCCTGGTACATCCCTTAAGCAAAAATATGCTCGAAAGATCTAAAGGTACAAAAAGCCTGAAAATGAGATTGCTATTTACTATAGAAACACATATATTCAGGTACAACATTTCTCCTAGTACTGATATAGAAATGATGCTCTGTTCACTAAAATAGTTYATGGTTGCTGAGTATTGATGCAGAAGGATCCCCATGTTTTAGAATTTAACAAAAACGTTTTTAAAACTGCTTTGACCTCAGCAGGACTTGCTTGTACGCAAGATGACCTTAAGACTTTAAAAATCAACARGGAAACTAACTCAAACAGTAGGTTATTGACAGCAAAGACTCATCTAGCAGGTGCTTCTGAGATACGTAATAGAGTCTGGCATCTAAAATTGCAGTGARTGTCAAATATTCTAAGTTCTCTTCTCCTTGGATTCACCTGGAGATGGACTTTTCCAGTAACTAGAGCTATGCACAAGTTGTACTTTTGCTGGAAGCAAAAGGTATTCCATCACTAAACAGTTAAAGCTGAAAASGCAATCTGTGAGTCACTACACACAACCTTCAGATTGCATTTGTATATTATATAACAGCTGTAAAACTGAATTAGCCATGAGTCAGGTACTGCTCCGTATCATTCACTTCCACCTCCCTCGAGAGCTGCCTTCCATTCTTTCCCTGACAGAAGTCCTTCCGTGATCACTTTGACAAGCTGATGGAATAAAATAACTTGCTCACACCCGTGGAACCCCCTCTAGTGTTTATGACAGTTTTAAGTGAAATATATTTTTCAGACCTCTTAAATAGCACAGTCCCAACACACATATATCTAAGCAGCTTTGGAAACCCCATCCCTAATCCTCTATATCACATCAGTTAAACCTCACTTTCAGGAGAAAAAAATCCTCAAATCTAATTAGAAAAAGTCATTACAAATAAGGGGAGCAGAACTTAACCCTATTATCCAGGAGACTTCTCTCAACTACAAATAAGGGGAAAGAAGARCTATCAAAGGCCTATTTACCTTTCAGTGGGAGATCACCCAAAAAGAAGTTCCTTTGCAATACAGGAAAACAAAGCAATTTAAAATCACCTCTCTGCTTTTGCTTATCCTAGCAATATTTTGGAACATACTTGTATTCCTCAATTTCTCTAGAATTCTGAAATATTTCCCTCCTCTTGCTTTCCTACTAAATAAGTTGTTCTGTCATATTTCCTCTTAAAAAATGCACTTTTTGCCACTCACTCTGAGGCTCTGGAATACAATCAAATAGACTTTCCTACTTCCTGTCATTCAACCAAATTAACTAGATTACAACTGAAATGCCAGGGCTGCAACAGGCCATTTTTATTCTCTACACTTCCTACCTTCCTAAGCATTAAGGCTGGAAAAAAAAAGACACAATTACATCCTGATATTCCATTTCAGCAGAAAATGTGCAATCCCAGCTTAGGGTATCTGAGTTATATCTATATTATAGATATGTATATACCTATTCCTGAGAAAACTGCCCTTCCAAAAGGGAGAAAATCAGAGCAAGCAGTGGACAGAACTGCTCACATGGGATCCAAGGGCCCAGACATCTCTCAAATACCAATGTCCACCCAGCAAAGACAGGGCCGAGAACAGTGTGCGCCTGGAAAAACAAACATTCCCTGCMCTTGGATTCTGCCATGGCTTCTCAGGCTGCTGTTGGCATCAGGAGAGAAATATCGCCCAATAAAAGCAAAGTTGTCTTCAAGACTTCACCGCCTTTAAACTGAAAAATCTCAACTAATAGCATTACAGCCACTAATGGGGAGTCATTAGTTGTCACTACTCCTTTTATTCCTTATTCCGCCACTGCTCACATCAGTTTTTTCATTAGAAGAGTACAAAAGCACCACGTACTTCCCCATRTACATCCCCACACATCCTACCTTAAACATAAATTGCAGATTCTTTTCTTAGAGACCTATAATATCAGAGGCTCCTTATGAGGGATGTCGCAGGATGCACTTAAGGTCTTCCCAAACGGTAACAGCCTCCCACTCACATCCTGAAAAACGTGGAGAAATTCAAACAAGAGGATGTGGCCACATGTCTGAGGCCAAACCCACAATGTGCATCTTCCTCTACCCACACCATGCTCCTAAAACAGAGGGTCTGCAAYGAAGAAAGTTCCTAGGCACACAGCTTAACTCTTTTACTTATCACTCATGCTGAGAATCCAACAGAAAAAAAGGCAAGGAAAATGTGACTAACTCTTGAAATCCTTTCCAAAGGCATATAGARAACCTGCACACCTTAACATCCCTATTTATATACTTTGGAGTACATACACCTCTCTGTGTACATCTCCTCTTACATACATACACACATAKATATAATTGGTTCTCAGCTTATTCCCTCAGTCTTTTGGACTTTAATCACCTCATCCTCTTGATTATTACATTTTTACTGGACTTCGTTTCATCATATTCTTGATA